AGAGTGCAATGGCGCGATCTCGGCTCACCGCAACCTCCGCCTCCTGGGTTCAGGCAATTCTCCTGCCTCAGCCTCCTGAGTAGCTGGGATTACAGGCACGCGCCACCATGCCCAGCTAATGCTTTTTGTATTTTTAGTAGAGACGGGGTTTCACCATGTTGACCAGGGTGGTCTTGATCTCTTGACCTCGTGATCCACCCACCTCGGCCTCCCAAAGTGCTGGGATTACAGGCTGGAGCCACCGCGCCCGGCCAGTTTCCTTTCTTCTTATGTGTTGCAGGTGATGCATGTCCTTTGTAATCTAGACACTTTTCAGTTGTGTTTTTTAAACATTTGGGGAAATTTTATTGGTTTTTATAACTGAAAAGTCTGGACTTCTCTTTCCATCTCTCAATTCTATTTTCTTCTGTATGTTGGCTTAGTTTTAGGCTAGGCCTTTTCTAAATGGTGTAAAGATGGCTACTCTAGGCTTATATCTTACCAGGCTAGCAACTCAAACAGGAAAAAACTCCCTTTTCTGTACATTCAACTGAAGTCCTGAAGCTGGTATTCATTGACTCTGTTAGGCCTCTATAGTGTCTTGCGTCCTCTCCTAGATCAATTGCTTTGGCCAGAAAATGCTGTACTCTTTTTAGCCCGGCCACACCCATATGTTCATTCCTGGGGTGAGGTCAACCCCTCCTGAACATATGGATTGAGTGGAGTGGATACCCAAAGGAAAAAATGGATGTGATGTTTTACAGACAGAAATAACAAGAGTTCACTATACTTTTTGCATTCCTTTGGAATTCGAGGTATTTTAGGATGGAAGTAAACTGGTGTCAGCTAACAATAGGACAATTCTTATTGGCTTTATATTAATTATAGGTAATAATTAAACTTATGCAGTAATTACATGGTGACAAGCCCTCTCTTTAATTCCAATACTAAGTAGGGTATCTTTCCCTTTTTTGCATTATTAAGCTTGACTAAAATATACATAGCAAAAAATAAAATATACAAGGCCAGACGCAGTGACTCATGCCTATAATCCCAGCACTTTGGGAGGCCAAGGTGGGAGAATCACTTGTGGTCAGGAGTTTGAGACCAGCCTGGCCAACATAGTGAAACCCCATCTCTACTAAAAATACAAATAACAGTTCAGCTCCTTGAAACAGCAAAGCTCTGAGCTGTGCTGAGAAGAGACTAGACTCTCTGCCTAAGTCATTACAGCTAATTGGCCATTAACTCTTGTGTAGAAAAAATGACAGAGGAGCATGAAGCAAGTGCTGAAGATGCCTCAGAATTGTCAAGAAATGTTATAAATAATCTGTCTTTCTGCAGTAAATAAGGGTAACTTTTTCGACCACATTAGCTTTTTTTTTTTTTTTTTTTTTTTTTTTTTTGAGACAAAGTCTCACTCTGTCACCCAGATTGGAGTGCAGTGGTGCAGTCTCAGCTTTCTGCAACCTCCACCTCCCAGGTTCAAGCGATTCTTCAGCCTCAGCCTCCCGAGTATCTGGGATTACAGGTGTCCACCACCACAACCAGCCAATTTTTGTGTTTTAGTAGAGATGGGATTTCACCATGTTGGCCAAGCTTGTCTTGAACTCCTGACCTCAAGTGATCCACCTGCCTCAGTCTCCCAAGGTGCTGGGATTGCAGGCGTGAGCCACTGCACCTAGCCCACATTAACTTTTGTTGATATGATCCTGTGAGGGGAGTCTTGCCTCAATAAACTAAAGGTAGACCAAATGTTCTTTTCTTCTTCTTCCTTTATATCTCTATCCCCGCTATTTCTAAGGTATCTGTCCTTGTAACAGTTCAGGATTCTTGTGAGCAGAACATTCATACACTTTGTCTCTTCCCACTCTTTTCAGGCTTGTTTTTAATATTTCTATGTCACAGCCTTAAAATTTCAGAAAGGGGAGAAAGCCTTTCAGGGAGCTCTGCTTATTCTGTTGTGCCTCTGAGTTCACTTGGTCTCGAATGAGGAGATGTAATCAGAAGAGTATGAATGCAGGCTCAGTCAGCTCTATTAAACACTTTTGAGGTATACATATTTCATATTACACAGTAGACCTGACAGTTGGAATTTGCATTTTCTTCAGTATTATTTTTAAAAATCAGGTAAACAGTGAAGGTTAGATACAGCGTGAAGCAAAGACCAGTTAATTTGTTTGAGGAAGAAATATCAGTACTATTATACCTAGAATAAAAATAAATAGATTGCTTAATCTATGTTAAAAACCCATAACATGCAGCTAAACTGCTTCCAATCCTGATTTGCCAATCCAAATCTAAGATACGTGCTTTCACTTAATTTATATGTAGCTGAGGAATTTTCAGCTCCAGACCAGCCCTAAGTCATAGAAGTGCCTTGTCCTCCCCACAGTGAATGAGAACTAGACTGCCAGCTTAAAGACTTGGGAAATCCATAATTCTTGTCTTATTATTTCTCAGTGCCACATTGTTGTTACCATTGGTAGGTGGGCTCTCTCTTTGACTTCAATAATTCTATCTACTTAACCTATTTTCTTAAAGATATAGCAAATAAAAACATATCAACAGATATATGCATTCCAGCTGAATATGTTTTAGGCTTTTTCATTTTAGCTATCCCCAAATCAAGCCACCAAGTCCAGCTGGTAGGTTTGTAACCGTCTTGCCAAAAATGTCTTGAGTTTGGGGATGGGAATTGGAAAAATCTTAACCCAAAGTCTTTTTAAATGTATCGTATTTTAGAAATGGAAGAAGAAACAACCACAGGTATTGTGTTGTCTGCCCTCTTGTGTCTAATACCTGTCCTTTGAACAGCCCCTCCCCCTAGGTCTGGATGGAGGATACCTTAAAGTGAAATGACAGACCAGGAGAATAACAACAACATCTCAAGTAACCCCTTTGCTGCTCTTTTTGGCTCCCTGGCTGATGCCAAACAGTTTGCGGCAATCCAAAAAGAGCAGCTGAAGCAACAATCTGGTAAGTGGAGGAGCCAATAGCAGCAGATGAGATGACCTAGAATGGGGTCTTCCCAAATTAAGTATCCTTTGAGTCCTTAAGTGCAATTGGAATTTAAGTTTGGGACAAAAGTTGGTTTTTGTTTGTTTAGAGCAGAAACTGGTTTTTTTGTTGTTCTCGTTGTTGGTTTTGTTTTGAGACCCTCCCCTCCCCTATCCTCGCCACTGTACAAAAAGAGACCAGATAACAGGTGGTTCCATAGTAACAGATGCCAGTCGTGATCCCAAAGCTGTCAGGCTGTTTTCTGTAAAAGGAAAAAAAAATCACCTAGTAAAAGCTATATAAGGCCGGGCGCGGTGGCTCACGCTTGTAATCCCAGCACTTTGGGAGGCCGAGGCGGGTGGATCACGAGGTCAGGAGATCGAGACCATCCTGGTCAACATGGTGAAACCCCGTCTCTACTAAAACTAAAAAAAATTAGCTGGGCATGGGGGCGCGTGCCTGTAATCCCAGCTACT